CTCCAGACAAGGTCCATCTAAGTACACAAAATTTACATTCAACAAATATTTAGGAGGAATTATGAAGGAAATTGCAAGCGTTAAAGGTTCAAAGGTGATTTTGAAAAGAGCTCCCAATTTATATAAAATTCTTAGAAACGATAAAGGGGTTATTAAAAAAGAAGATAAGGCAGGTGTTTACAAGATTCCCTACGAGAACCAGCTATTAGGAATAAAAAAAGATTACGTAGGAGTTACTACCAGAAACCTCGGGGTAAGGATTAGAGAACACAAATATGATGCTAGGAAAGGGTCTAATACAACAATATTGGCCCAGATGGCGCAGGCCCAAGGATCCCTGGTTGGATGGGAGGAAGCGGAAGTCGTGAGACAAGTACACTCACCAACGTTGGCGAAGACGGCCGAAAAAATGGAGATATACAGGAGCAAACTTAAAGAAGGATGCATTAATGCTAGGGATGCGGAAGGTCTTCCCTCGGCTTGGAAATTTGCCGTTAAAAAAGCTTACAAGTAGCGCATCAACTGAAATATGATATGTATTTGATTTAAAGGAAACTTAGTAGCTTCTATTTAGCTACGATAGATCGTATTAATATTTAGTCTTTGTAGTATATTATTTATTATTAGGTATCGTTTGAAATTTATTTTTTATTCTTATTAATTGATTTGTTATCAGTTTATTGATATTTTTGAATTTTTGAACGTATTGTTCCATTTATTATGTATTCCATTTTCGTATGTTCTAGCCTGATGATGATCCGTTAAGTGGATCGAAAACGTTCGTTTTTAAAAAACTCCCTCAACAAACAATAAGGTGTTGATTACGTTATTTGTTTATTTTTGCTGGGTACGATTGTATTCAACTGATGATCTACCATACAGTCTGATCTGGTGTCTTCTGATTTTCATCTTTTTTTGAAATTAAAAGAATTTTTGAATGGAAAAATGCATACAGATAGATGAAGATTCTCTACGGCATTCACTGCACTCTCATTCATAGAGAATCTTCCACAGAACTGTGGTTATTTTTGGAACCTTAGAACTTTACTCATACATCTGTGTGCAATTCTTGTAGTCGTTTCCTTACTGTATCTGCATGTGCCAATGGATGTTGATTGATTTTTGTCACAAATCAGACAACACTGCACTACTCTTGCTTCATCCACTGCTGGAGAGGCACCCCTATTTTCCCATTTTATCAGTATATTGTCTTCTGTTATTCTACCTCAACGGGGTTGCCTCTGACTTGGAAGTGTTGTGTGTAAAAATTACTGCACCATTTATCATCCTCCTAACTTTTAATAGCATTTTTCCAGTTTTCTATTGAACATATATTTATTATGATTATTATATATAAGGCAATAAAACTTTCACTTCAAGCAGTATGGTGTGTCCTATAAATATAAAGGCACTAATAGACTTTCATGAAAACTTTACAAAAATAATTTATCTTTGGCATGCTTGAACTTTCACATATGCACATATAAGAAATGATAATCATTTATTGAGTTAGAAAAAAAATTAAACAACAATTTTAAAGAATTACATTCAATTCAACTGTCCCAAAAATAAAAAAGCATATAATAAAATTGCCTGAAACAATTAATGACATGTTAATAAATTATATTTAATGAAACCTCCTTTGTAAATAGGGTCTGGTATTGCTTTGTATGAGTTTTTGCTGGACAAGATGCATTTATTTTTTCCCAGTGACAAATTATGACTTGTTTTAGTTATACACATTATTATATTACTGCCCATTTGTGTATACAGCTCTAGCCAGAATTTCCCCAAAGATTTTCCATTGGATTAAGATCAGGAGATAAAGTTGGCCAATCAATAATAGGCATCCCATAAGCTAAAACCATTCATATGTAGTTTACTATATGAATGGAAGCATTGATCTGTAGAGTCAATATTCTGTGAAAGGCAAGAGGTTGCTTGCCAACATGTCTTAATAATCATTTGCTTTTGTACATCCTTGTAAAAAAAGTGGAGTCAATCTTTCCTTGCCAACTAAAGTCACCACACGTTGTAGCTGAACCACCACCTTGTCATTTGGAATATAGTTCTTCCTTCCTTTCTTCTCAAATCATGCCAGAAGTGGGTCCAACCACCTGGACCATCAAGGTTGAAGTTTTTCTTGTCACTCCAGATGATTTGTTTTCGTGTATCCATCCATCTCGTTCTTTGGCCCATAGTAAACATTTCTCTTGTGAATGGCTTTAGTGATGAGGGCAACTTTTCTTGACTCATATGAAAGTTGCTGGCATGTTTGCACAACTCTTCCAATAGTTGATTTGTCAGCATTACACTTGATTGCCAGCAACAAATGATGCTTTGTTGCTGGCAATCTGCAAACAATGGCTTGTTTTGCCCCTGTTTGTAAGCTTTGAAGGGAGTCCTGCTGATTCCTTTTGACCATATTGATCTCCAAGTTTAATAATGTTGTCAGTTTCAGTGGATGACCAATTTAATTTTCTAGCAATTGCTCTTGCAGAGTAATTTTCACCTCTAAGAGCAAGAATTTTATTTTTCTATAATTTTATTAGGGATTTGCCTCAGCCCATTGTTAAATTAGTGATTCTAACCAACTACAGTCATTTCTAGTAGTTTCTGCTGGTTTAATGTTGACCTTTAGTATCTTAACATCAACCTGTCTTTACATTTTTGGGACAATCAACTTTCATCTATTTGTCTAAAATTGTTTTGTGTCTTAATAAATTATCTTTTAAATATATATTTTTAAAGGTTTAAATAAACTAAAAATAAAATGCCAAATGATCACAGCATTGAATTTGGCTACTTTACTGCTACTATTAATAATTATATTCTAAGTGATTCTAGGCCACGGACATGAAATTATCTCCAGTTGGTCCCATAAGTAACCATGGATGATTATGTGAGAATACAGTCGAGGGTTAGCCCTCTAGTCCGTCTAGTCGCAAGACCCGCTCACTGGGTCACTGGATGGCTTAATAGGAGGGTCTTAGACTAATTGAGTGGGGAGGTCGCGGATAAGTGGATAGGGTCCACTATCCAACATAAGACAAGTTGACTGGTTAACAAATGACAAAAATTTAATATAGAACAAAAATAGGTTAAATACATAGATGGAGGTTACATTCTATAACTACATAATAACTAATGGATCGAGAGAGAGAGTTTACACAAACTGTTCAAAGTTAATACTGTGAGATGACACTTCATATCTCCTAGATTCTTCTATGCGATGTCAGGGAGACGATCGTGGATCTAGCCGAGAATCTGGGGGTCTGTAGGCTGTTGGGGAGTTGGCATGTAGAGCTTTGTCTAGGCTCCTGGGATATCTGCCCCGATGATTGGGTGTGACTCCTTTTTATACACATTGCGCATGAGAATTGATTCAGGTGACTTTGATTTAATGTGTTCTAAGTTTGAGTTGTGTCATTACCTCAGCCAGAGTGGTCTGACTTTTTACCATATATGGCAACAACATCAAAATTTGTAGACATCATCAATGAGGTGTTGGGACTCTTCTTACTTCATAATTTAATCTTTTTGACAGTTTCCCATCACTAATAATCGAACGTTTTGACTCAGATTGTAACATAAGTCCAAACATCGAAATGATTGTTGCTTCAGAGAGATATTTGATAGATTTTTATCTTTTCAATCGGTGAGCAGCCAGGAAGTTTCTGGTGGAAATCCAGGTTTTTCCTTTGTATTATAATTTAGTTAACAGGCTAATTAGCTCTAATTAACTCCTCTGGATCTTCACAATTATATCTAAAATTAAGTATGTCAGGAAGTGAAGAGTCAGTCTTGGTAACATAACTGGCAATGCATCCATACAGTAAGCAGAAGTTGCAGGTTTGAGATCTGCTTTGACCAATTCTTTTTTTTCAAAATATTCTAAATTATTTAGTAAATATTAACCTGATTCCAATACAGTGATCACTTTGGCTTCTTATAAAAAAAATTCTGGCTTTGAGATATTTATAGATGCAAACTAAAAATTGTGCAAATTTTTTCATGTGAATAATTTATATGGAAATCTATTAGTGTTTTTATATTTATGGGATGAACCTTAGTCCTATTACAGAAATAAAATCTATCATTTTTTCAAAATCTGTATAATTATTTTATATTGGTTAAAAATATCCAGTTTTTCTGCTTAACATTTTGATCAGACAAATGAAATAGTAGAATACATTCTTTATTAATTATGTTTAGGTTTGGTAGTTCTATTATTTAAAAATTTTTAAATATTAGCATTATAAAATTTTAGATCATCTAATGTGAGTTTGGATGATTCTTGATTAAAAAAAAATCAAAATTATTTTTTTATCAAGAATCATCAGAAAAGTAACTATTCAGTTTTTTATAATGATTTTTATTTGAGTTTTAAAAAATTACAAATATTTTAATTGATTTTATTAAAAATAAGTGTAATGAATATTTAAGTGCAATATCTAGAATACTTCTAAGGAATATAATAATAAAAATTATATATTTTCTTATTTTATAGCTTTTAATCTTTGAAAAACATGATGAAAGGAAGAGAAAGGTTTTATTAATATTTAATGAATCAAACACTATTTAAACTGTATTGTGTAAAAGGTTATATTGACTTTCAAAGTTCAAAAATTAAATCAAAATAGCATGCAAAACTGCTGTTTTTAGTTCTGTTAATATAATCAAAGTTTTAAAATTTACATCTGTTAGGACCAAAGCTGTCTTAAAAGACCTTGCACAACCTTTCTAGGACACATTGTATAATAAGTTAATTTCTGTAATAGATTAACAAAAAATGAAAAAAAAAAAAATTGGCAACTAAATGAACAGAGTCTTAATTAATATCCAGTACAAACTATTTGTTAAGCTAACATTTTTGAGCTAGTTCATAGCCCTTAATCATGTTTAAACTTAAACTCAACTTTAACAAATATTTTAAACTTAAATTCAACAGTTTATGGTGGATATTAAAAGGTTTTGTTATTTCTAATAAATAATAAAATAGAAAGTATGAATACTTTCATATTTACTTTTTTAACAGTAAACTATTTTCCAAAAATCTCAAATAATAATTCAATATATTGTGATGTATAATTGTTGATTATCTTGCAATCTTAAGTTTTTTTTAAATAGAGAGAGGATGTAAAATTTAATTTACATAATTGCATTAAGGATTTATAGATTTGCATATTTCTTACATTTTTTGTTTTATTGTATATATGACCTCTTTGGATTTTGAATAAAGAAAATATAATTTTGTTTTACATTCCAATCTTCTATAGAATAGAATTTTTTGTAATAGAAAAAAAAAAGCAATATCAATCAGTAAATTTATATATGTAGGATTAATGATAGAAATAGAAGTAACAATAATCTTTCAACATTCAACTAAATCTTCCAACCATCTTCAAATTATCTTATGGATAGAATGATGATCTGGCATTCATCACATCTTTTGTCCTTTTTGCACTGTTATCAGCTGACATCTCCCCTTGTCTCCCTCTCTGCTCCTCGTTTACTTTCTTAACAGCTTAGGAATGTTACTCATTTAATCCCCACATATATATCTAGGTATGTGCTGCCTAATAACAAGGATTTGTTCTGAGAAATACTTCCTTAAGCAATTTCATCATTAAACTAATGTTTATCTAGCTGGTTATAAAGTACTGTACAAGTGAAGTAACAATGATAACTATAGTATTTTAACTATACATAACACAAAATATTGTTTTAATAGAGGATATGCCTCTCTTGTATTTCTGATAGATGATATACAATATGGCTCCTATCAAAACAAGATTTGGCCACCCTTGTTAGAGTTTCCTTAGATAAGTCTTATATGGTATAATTTACTATTCATATAGGCTATATGTTACACAATAATTTTTTTCTATCTAAACATAGACAAGGTATAGTCAGCTACAGATTTATTAGCTCCATTGTAATCTTATGGGATCTCTGTTGTACATGCAGTCCTGTCAAGTGATGTATATCTGTATATAATTAAATGTATTTTGAACTTAAAGCAATTTTTTTAAACTAAAATGTTTTGAGTTATATTTGTAATTTTTTAATGGAGTAATATTTATGATTTTAAACACAGAAATTAATTACAAATTATCTTTAGTTTCTTGTAGTACTAAATTACCCTAACATTCAAATAATGAAAATTTTTATTGATTAATTACCAAAATGTTGTTTCATGAACTGATTCATGTTATGAGATCTATGTTTTAATAAAATATAAATATTTCTAATTTTTATGTTTACTGACTATTATGTACTGTACTTACATTATATTATTACATACATTATTTTGATTATTATAGGATTTATATAGTGATAATATATTATTGTTTCAGAAAATGACTAAAATTTCAAAAGTCACTTTGGATAACAAATCTGTAAGCAGAAATAAAATGAACAACAAAATTTACATTGATGGTGAGTTTAGTACTGAAATATTTGCTTTTAAACTGTATTAACTGTTAAATGATTACAGTAGTTTATTACAGATAAAAAAAAAGTCCTCATTTAACATTGTTGATAGGTTCTTGGAAATTGTAACATTAATTGAAATGTTGTATAATGACATCAATTTTACCATAGACTAAATGATACAAGCAAGAGTTGTTTCATATTAGATCATGTTTCAATCCTCCATTAATTCTCACTTTATAGAATCTATTTTATTGTTTATAAAGAAAATTCAAAAGCAATAGTTGTAAATGATATTTTGATGAATTGATGATGACAAATGTACTTGTATCTTTATTTGACAGTGTTATAATGTTAAGTGAGGATTTGCTGTACATAAAACTTAAGATAGCTAATAATAGAATTTCAAACTGAAGTTCTGTTTGCAATTTTTAATTTACAATGTTTTTGCACTAAAAAAAAAAACATTATATTAAAGCCAAATGATTGCTGGATTAAATCAAGCTATGTTACCACTACTGTTAATTAAATACTGAATAATTCAGCCTAGAGATAGGCATTAGGTGTCATGTCTTATTAAATTTAATAATTATAATTAAATTATTATTTATTAAATAATTTAGAAAATTCTGGAAGAAAAGAATTGGCCCAGTGGGACTTGAACCAGCTACTGTCACTTACCATATGGATGCATTGCCAGTTATGCTACCCAAACACCTCCATTTGATCCTTTGCTTCCAGACATATTTAATTTAGATATGACTGCACTAGTTACTCATGGTGCCAACTGGGGATAGACAAGTCAGTTCCAATAGCCTATAATCACACACTATAACACTCAGTCGGCTATCACTTTACCCTGGCATTGCATGTATATATATACATATATACAGGATTCCTACACAGATGGAAAGTCAGGAAAAATCAGGGAATTTGCCTCCTTGGTTGCCTTGAATTTTTTTTGCCAACAATATGTTTGACTATGTATAGCCATCCAGGAAGCAAGAAGTAATGTGGTGCAATACAACCTATGAAAAGCGGTACAGAATATTTTCAGGATGCAAAATTTCTCCCAAGCATACACAATTTTCAGAAAATTTACAAAGTAAAAAATGATAAGTAATTCCATTTNTATTATTAAAAAATTTCAATATTTAAACATTAGTGACTCCTTTGTGGTTCAGTTTTAGAAGCTAACACATCAATATTTGGTTTATAGTTTGAAGTTTTTAATTTTATGCACAATTGGCATGCCACTCAAAATTCTTTCACGTGGCACGCGTGGTATAGGTTGCCGACCACTGGGCCAGACCATGCCTAGCAATTGTCCTTTTTATGAGTGTTTTTTGTTTTTGGTTCAAAACTCTTGATTTACCAGAATGTGATTTTAGAAAAATAATTTATAACAAATTAATGGTATAGCAATTATCCTTTGTAGAGATATGGTCACTTATTATTAAAACCTGGTTGATTTGGGGTTTTCATATATTTTTAAATCTCAACTGTCAGATGATGATGTTTTTTTGCCGAAGTATTACAGTCATTAAGTGACAAATATTGGTTACAAGATAGAATGCATGCATATTAATTAGAAATATAATTTTTTGAACACTTCCTTTTTTTATATGGACATTTTTTTACTTATAGTCTAATTTAAATTATAAGATTAAATCTCTAGTGATACAAAATTGGCTAAACATACATACTAATTTTTTGAATTGTAAAAAATAAATATTATGAAAATATCAAATAATGTTCTTTGCAATTTGTTTGTTGAAAATATTAAGAACAATCTGTTTATTTTGTGTGAATCTCCTGAATATCTAAAGGAATCTTTGCTGAGATGCCAATTTAACTGTTACTCTTTGCTTGATGATAAAATAAGTTCTTGCACATTATACAAAGTATAAAAGTTTTTCAAGACTTGCTAACTTTATTACAATAAAATTTAATTATTACTTTTGTTTAACAAACTTTGGATAAATAATAATTTTTTCAAATAAGAATTGTTTTAAGTATGGATTCATTACCTTTATGTATAAGACATNGAGGAAGTCATGCAAAGTCATGGAATTTAAAACAAAAATCTGAGTAGGAATCCTGCATATATAATCTGGTAATTGTTTAGCTTTAATATAATATATAAACATCTCTAAGCCCAATGGATTATTAAAACTATCAGGCTTAGAGATGCTTGTTATATTAAAGCCAAACAACTGACAGATTATATATATATATATGTATATATATATGTATGTATGTATGTATGTATAAATACACCATGCCAGGATAAAGTGATAGCTGGCTGAGTGCCATAGTGGGTGATTATAGTCTGTAAGCACAAGTTGTTCATCCCAGTCAGCACCACTAGTATGGTTATACAGTAAAACCTCTAAGTTGAAGCTTCAAGAGGCAGGAAAAACTTTGAGTTACAGATGATTTGAATTAGAGAACAATAGAGTGAAAAAATGTCAATTCTGAATAGATTTGTATTTCTACTTCTCTTGCATTATATAAAGTATCTTTGATATTTTTTGTTTTAAACAGCCCTTGTAACTCCTTTTAGAAAAATGCAATCTAACAGTTTTTCAGGTAACATCTTGTTGAGATAAAACAAGCAGTTCTTTTGCTTTAAACTGGAATATTGTCTGCAAATGGTTGTTGGGCAGTGGATACAACTAACATTCTGAAAATTTCATGGAATACCGGTAATTATGAAAACTTTGGATAGAATAAATATTAAAATTCTAGTCAGGGAAAGTAACAAATCAGTGTCGGGGGACCATGAAAACCTTTGACTTGTTGAAAATTTGAGTTAAGGAAATTCAAGTTGGAGACATAAAATCCCTGTGATGTTTCATTGAGCTATACCAAGTGCTTCATTTTCTTTGAGTTAAAAAAATATTCTTCCAACCATCTAACCAAGTTTCAGATGTTTGAGTTAAAGAAGTTTTACTGTATCTAAATTTAAAATATCTGAAAGCAAAGGATCAGATGAAGGTCTGGGTAGTGTAACTGGCAATGCATCTGCACAGTAAGCGGCAGTAGCTGGTTAGAATTCCACTCCGGTTTGATTCTTTTCTTCCAGAATTTTCTAAATTATCTCATAAATATTAATTTAATTATTAATAGTAGCAGTAATATAGCCTAATTTTAATCTGGCAATCATTTAGTTTTAATATAACTATTGTGCTTAGATGTTTATATATGTAAAAAAATATCATCATAGAAAATGACATTTTTGTTTTTAAATATACCACTTTATTTTCTTTTTATCAAAAACTAATTGCATATTTCTTACAGGAAATAGTAAATTTTTTAAATAAAATAATATCTCAAATAACTGGATGATAATTATAAACATACAACAAAAAAAGCATTTTGTGTTTGAATGTCAGTTGTAGCCAGACAATAGTGGTTTAAAACTACCAAAAATATTTGTTTCAAATTAAAAGATTTAGTTTTGTGTTGGATTTTTTTTTACATTTATGATATGTTCATTTATACAATAAGAAAAACTTTTTATACAAATATTAGCTATTTACAGATTTGATATATAATTTTTTATATGCATTATAAAATATTGCACATTTTATAAGTGCAGATTGCAATTCAGAATATTATATATGTTAGATCAATGTTTGAATGCAATGTTAGATCAATATTTAATATTGGTATTATTGTGATAAAAACAAAATATAAAAACCTATTAATTTTGTTATCTACAAATAAAATTATTTTTTTATACAAAGATAAGTTTAAAATTAATTGTAAATTAGATTTCAGAAGAAGGAGGCATCTTAGAATGAAAAGAAATATGGTATATCATTTTAAGTGTTGTTTTAACTCAGTGATAACTTATTATAAGTGAGTTTTCTGTTTATTTGATAGCAAACAGTCAAACTCAGTTGTAATGAGTGAAAAAGGACAAGTACATTTGCTTGTTATAACTGTTACTTGTTATGAGTTTAGGGATTTACTCTGTTACTTTTGATTATCATTAACAATGGATATAACAAGCAACAGTTAATGACCGTATTTAATTCATGCTTTTTATTGTTATTTTTTACTTGTCTCTATAGAATAAAGTTTTAAAATAAATACAAAGAAATTTTCTAACATGCTTACTGCCATTCAAATAGTAGCAGTAATAGCATTCCCTCCTTTTCTTAAAAAAACACCATCTGACTTTAATAGAATATTTTGCTTTATGTGATATTTTATCTGTTTTTAAAATAACTTAGCCATCTACTGTCACAAACAAAATCAATGTCCAACTTTTGCAAAAAAGTTTGCAAACTTTTTCGCTTATGCTTTTAATATTATCATTTCACTTGGAATTCTGGTTTTCTTTTAACACAAAATCTTTCTTTTAATGCTTTGTCAACATCTGTAAAAGAAATTTTCTAAATATTTTAGTAGCTAGGATGTTATTGTTCAGTGCATTCAAATAGACAATCTTGTTCTATCAGTGTTGATACTGTGAAAGACAACAAGCTGAATTTTTAGCCCACTTCCACTTTTTTTTTATTAAAAATGTTAATTTTTAAATAATTTTGATCTTTTTCATGAATTGAGAGGTGCACTCTTATTAGAAGACATGTTTTTTGTAAAACTGAAAAGTAAATGTAACATTGAGTCATAAAAGGAGTCACAAAACACTTTTAATACAATTTTGATAACTCAACAGATGGTTCACTCAGGTGATAATGGTTTCACCACTTATTAAATACTATACAGAACAAAAATATGCTTGTTATAACTGAAAATTGCTTGCAGTAACCATGAACTCCACATGAATTCCTTATAACTGAGCTCATTACAGCTGAGTTTGACTGTATAATGAATTTTTCTTAACAAATTGCTATTCAGAAAATATTCAAGAGTTTTGTTCATGAATCTCTAGTACATACAACTTTTGTATAGATATCAGATTTGTATAATAGTTGGCAATTAGACCAGAGACTAATGCTTTTATTGTAAGGCATGTTCTAGGAAGTTGTCTG